ACGAATTACGCCTTTTTGAATTACTCAAAATTTTTCTAAACAACTTGAAAAACTCCAAAAACAAACTTTGTATAACTTACCAAGCTCTACGCTTTTGCTTTTGGGATCAACCCCAAATTATGCTTAGATTTTGAAATGGGTTTTCAGGGTAGGATTTAAATGCTGAAAAGCGGGGTTTTCTCGAAAAATTCAAAATCCAAACAAACTTTGAACTAGAGTCAACCAATACAATTCAACACATACCACATGAATATAAACTTGTTTTAGTGTATGCATCTCAAAGTTTTCACCAAATGCCAAATGCTTTGCAATGCATATGATGACATGCCAGATTTTAGTATTTTAAACACCCGAGATGTTACAACGACTCCCCAAGCCGCGGGAGCTCGGATGAGTTGACGACCGTAGTGATGAGCTCGAAATGCTTGCGGTCGCACGTGAAGGCATGCGAGAAGGTGCTACCCACAGTGATGACACCGTTCGGTCTCGGCATCTTCAGCTTCAGGTAGGTGTAGTTCGAGACTGCCATGAACTTGGCGTAGCATGGTCGTCCTAAGATGGCGTGGTAAGACCCCAGGAAGTCCACCACCTCGAAGTAAGTACCTCCAAGCAGAAGTTGTCTCGGTCGCCAAACATGACGGGCAGGTCGATCTGCCCGAGCGGGTATGCCTGCGCTCCTGGGATCACGTCATGGAAGGGAGAGCTCACCGGTTGGAGCTCCGATCGAGGGATGCACATGGCCCTGCTGTGGCTGCTTGCCGTGCGATCAGTTGCGGCAACCAACGCGGAGTTGGCCGTTCGGCGCCGATCCTTCTTGTTCTTCTTGCCCCTCTGCGTGGAGGGGCCCTCGTCTTGGTCCTCGCGCTTGGACTTGCCCTTGTCCCGGCCTCCATTGAAAACTGCTCCGTCCACCTCCTCGCCGGAGGCGTGGTTCATGGCGACGTCGAGCAGGCCATGGGTGGTTCGGGGCTTCAGGCAGCCAAGCTTGTGGATCAGGGACTCGCAGGTTGTCCCGAAGAGGAATGCGCTGATGACGTCCGCGTCGACGACATCAGGAAGGAAGTTGCACCGCTTCGAGAACCTGCGGATGTAATCCCGCAAGGACTCGTTAGGCTCCTACTGGCAGCTCTTGAGGTCCTAGGAGTTCCTAGGGTGGATATATGTCCCCTAGAAATTTCCAACGAAGATCCTCTTGAGGTTCGCCCAGTCGACAGATGCTGTCGTGCGGGAGGAATTCGAGCCATGCTCGAACATGTTCTCCCACGCAGATGGGGAGGTACTGAATGATGAGGTGATCATCATCCACTCCCTCGGCTCAATAGGCGAGCCGAAAGTCTTTGAGCCATATACCGGGATTCGTCTCCCTGATATATTTGGCGATGTTGGTCGACGATCGGAAGCGCTGTGGGAATGGCGCTCTCTGGATGCGTCGGCCAAAGGCCCGTGGTCCCGGGCCATCCGGGCTTGGACTCCGATCGTTGGGTTGGTGACCACGCCTGGGGTGCATTTCACCAGTCCCCTCGATGGTCCGACCGGAGCCCGTGTCGTCTGCTCTCACTGCCGCCCGATGGACGTCATCATCATGCCGAGCCCGACGCCGGTTGTTGATGACGCTACAAGCATCTTGGTTCGGCCCGAGGTGTTCGCGCACAGGTGGTTAGTGTGGAGCGGGCGCCGGGTCAGGCTATGGCGTAGCTACGCCCTCCAGTTCCACGCCTGGTGGTTGTAGTGGCGAGCGGATGGAGCGACACGTCTGGTGCGTCCCGCCCCCCTGGTGGGGAGAGAGGGCGCGCGTCGGTGGTGCGACGTGGAGCTCTCCGCCTGTTGAACGGCGGCGGTTTCCACCAGGGCCCAGAGGTTTCTGTGGATCGCCTGTTCCTGGGGGTTGTCTGGCTCGGGAAGGCCGCGCAGAAGCATCGCGGCCGCGGTGATGTTCTGGCTGGCCCGAGCGAACTGTGGGGGGATCGTTCCCTACGTCCATGATGTTGCGCTGGACCTAGCGGGCGCGACCTCGGGCGCCGCTCGCCGGGTTACGTGCACGGGGTGCATCGTGGTGTGCCGAGTGCACCAGCATAGGTGGCAGCTGGTTCTCCACGAATTCAGATGTGAGAGGGGGCGGCGCCAGCATCCTTCGGAGCCCCCGGGCGTACGCGTCCACGGGGGACGTGATGCTGTAGGGGAACCGGTCGCATGGCGATCACGACAGGGACAACGGGGTCCCTCCAGAGAATCGGCGAAAGACAGTAAATAGCGAGTAAATAACAAAACATACGTTACTCATAGTTGGGTTTGAGCCCTGCGTGAGCTCGGAGCGAAGCACAGGCGCCTCATTATTGAAGTCGCCGAGAGTCCCGGAGCCGACGGAGGATGCGCCTCCTCCGAACGAGTGCCGGAACAAGTGCCTCCTTGCGGAGGCGTAGTATGCCGAGCCGGTTGGCGACGAAGTCCAGGCTTCCGAAGAGGAAGGCCTAGGACGGCTTGAAGACGGGAGGAACCCACATCCCAACAGGTGGGAATGCAGGAAACTCTAGCGAGCCGAAGCGAGTCATATCACTTGAGCCCGCCATGGCGAAGATGGAAGAAAAGTGGGTCATCCGATGACCAAAAAGCGTGAACGTACGACGTCTATCCCCACGGACGGTTCCAACTGTCGGTGCAAAAAGTGACCAACACATAAATATTTGTAGTTTTGTCTTACGTTGTGATCGGATGTGGCCTAGCACTCAATTATATAGGGTTTATACTGGTTTAGGCAACATGCCCTATGTCTAGTTTGAGTCGGTCGGTGACTTTATTCCTGAGCCCAGGTGCTCGAAGTTTGCTGTGGGGTTACAAAAGAGAGGGAGAAAGATGTGGGGTGAAAGAGGCCGGGTCGGACTCTGGACTGAAGGGCCGAGAGTGACGGGAGCTCCTACGTGCGCTAAGTATTTGAGCGTGTGCTCTGTGTAGCTTTAGAGTGTCTAAAGCTAGCTGAGGGTGAATCGACCGTTGGTTGTTTGAATCGTTCGAGTCCTCGTGTGTGTGTCTCTTGGAGAGTTGTTGTGAATCGATCCTCTTTTTGGGAGAGAGCGAGTCCCATTTTATAGATGAAGGGGATTGCCTTTACAAGTGAGGGAGAGTACGTATGCCACTAAGTCTTGTTGCCCACGCCGTCGGGTACAAGATAATTGTAGGCGGCCATAACATTGTTAATGTCAGATGCATGTGGGAGGTTCCTGTCGTCTTCTTCTGGTATGGCAGATGTCGGCGCCTACCATACTGTTGATGCTCAGAGGCATGTGAGGGGTTTTACCGTGTTCGCCTGGCATGGGAGTTGACGGCGCCCACAACAGCTGTAGGGCAAATGTCGGCGCCCACAACACTGCTGGGGCTCTGACATGCCTGGAAGGTGGCAGGGCACCATTCTGACATGCCCTGTTGGTACTGTGTTGCAGGTGTACATGGTACGGTCCTTGGTATTACGATTGTTTTGAGCGCCCTGCCTTTACTTGCTCCGCTCGTTTCCTGGGTCCTTACTAAGCGGGCGTCCTCGGTCGGTTGGTCCCAGTCGGCTCCGACTACGCTAGTCGGAGAAGAGCTGTAAGCAAAGGTCCGTGCATTCCCGGTTGGAGATGCGGGTCAGAGTCGGAAGCGAGCCTCGTTCCTCCTCGGTCAGGCCTTCCGGTCAGAGAGGCGGGTTGGAGTCGGAAGCGAGGCCTTCCGATCGGAGAGGCGGGCCGAAGTCAGAAGCGGAAGCCGTTCCTCCTTGGCCAGGCCTTCCGGTCGGAGATTGGATCACCCTTCGGGCCTGTCGTTAGGTATTTGGGCCGGCCCAGGAGTTACGCATCGTTCGCAACGTCGTCTGCTGGCCCAAGCTTTTGCTGGGAAGCAGGTCCATGAGGGACCCCGGGTTTATGAACCCGACAAAAACATTAAGGTTTACATTAGATTTACCATAGAATATACTACATCTGTCCCAAAAAGAATGCAATTACGTGTTGCGTGCTAGTTAAAGTAGTTCATATTTGACCAAGTTTCTAGTAAAAAGTATTCACATTTATAACTCTAAATAAATTTATTATGAAAATAGATTTTGTAACTAATGTAATGATATTTATTTTGTATCTATGATTGATCAAACTTAAGACACTAAAACACGACACTGTGCTAGAATTACATTCTTTCTGGGACGGAGAGAGTATTTTCATAAAATGCTCATTTTATGTTATAGATATTGTTATTGCTTTCTATAAAGTTAGGTCAAACTTATAAAAGTTTAATCAGAACAGATTCTAGGAATTGATTTATCTAGAGACGAAGAGAGCATACTTTGGCTCTTAGAACATCTCGGTACAAGCATAGTTTTGCTCCAACACGAGCAAAGCTACATTAAAGTACAAATATATTCCTCACAAGGTTAAAACGGTGATTTTATCTAAATTTTCACTATATATACGTATATACCTGGGAAACCCCGATGCTGGGAAACCCCGGTACAAACCTGGGAAACCCCGACACCCCGTAACCTGGGAAAACTCTCGTGTGGCGTATATACACCGGTACAAACCTGGGAAACCCCGACACCCCGTAACCCCGATGCTGTGACCACCCTTTCGCCCCCCATGTAACCCACGGTCGACGGTCTGTCACTCGCACTCTACCAAACCAGAAACCGCAAGAGCATGAGATGAAAAAAAGAAAAAGAAAAAGAAAAAAAAAATAAACCGCAAGAGCAGCCGTGGGGTAGCGTGCAGCGCTTGCGTGGATTTGGGGATCCCCGCCCGTGCCTTTGTGCCGCCTCCCACCGCGCCGCACCCGCCCCAGTACCCAACCCAACCGTTGCCACCAGCTCCAGATCCGACCGCCTCGATCGGGACTCGAGCGTCACCACAGCGATCAACCGGCCGCCGCGGGTGACCAACCCACCCGCGTTTACCCCCGCCAGATCCCCAGATCCCCCTCCAAGCCAGCCATGGCCGCGCCCCGCTCCGGCCTCCGCACGCACTGCCACTGCTAGCGCCATGGCCGCCCCCGCCGCCTTCTGCCGGAGCCCGCTCGCCTGGCTCTTCGCGCTCGCCGCCGCGCTCTTCTTCTTCTCCTGGTACCTCCTCCTCGACTCCGCCGCGGGCCCAGCCGCCGCCCGCCGCCCCAACCAGTGGCTCCGCGCCGGCGGCGGGCGGCGCCCCGGCGGCCCCGGTAGGAAATGCGACCCCGCGGAGGCGCTGCTGCGAGTGTTCATGTACGACCTGCTCCCCGAGTTCCACTTCGGCCTGCTCGACTGGAAGCCCCCCGGCTTCGGCGGCGGCGTGTGGCCCGACGTCAGGGACGGCGTGCCGGACTACCCGGGGGGCCTCAACCTGCAGCACAGCATCGAGTACTGGCTGACCCTCGACCTCCTGGCCTCCGAGCAGGGCGCGCCCACGCCCTGCGCGGCGGCGCGGGTGCGCCACGCCGCGGACGCCGACGTCGTCTTCGTGCCCTTCTTCGCCTCGCTCAGCTTCAACCGCCACTCCCGGGTCGTGCCGCCCGCGCGGGATAGCGAGGACCGCGCGCTGCAGCGGAGGCTCCTCGAGTTCCTCGCCGCGCGGCCTGAGTGGCGGAGGACCGGCGGGCGGGACCACGTCGTGCTCGCGCACCACCCCAACGGGATGCTCGACGCGCGCTACAGGTTCTGGCCCTGCGTCTTCGTGCTCTGCGACTTCGGGAGGTACCCGCCCAGCGTCGCCAACCTCGACAAGGACGTCATCGCGCCCTACCGGCACCTCGTCTCCAACTTCGCTAATGACACCGCAGGATACGACGACCGGCCGACGCTGCTCTACTTCCAAGGCGCCATCTACAGGAAGGACGTGAGTATCTTGCTACTTACTCATCTCGTCTAATTTGAATCTTAGTTGGATTAGTCACATCTAATTTAATAATAATATAATGTCAGCATACATCTTTTGCTTAAAAAACTTTGTTTTCCATGCGTCTTCCCTAAAAAGGATTGAGAATGTTTGCCATGTCCATGTGGCACGTGCACTCCTTTTCATTCCGTAGCCTAGTAATGGCTAACATGTCCCTTTCCCTCCGTGTGCCACTTACCTGAATTTGCACTAGTTCTGGCCACTAAAGATGCATCGATGTATGCTTCTTTGCGAATTGGAGCGTTTTGCCCTGTCTATCAGTAATCAGTCCAGCTCACACATAGGCAATCACTTCTCCCAGTCCTATATGACCACGATCAGCATACTTCGCTGTCTTTTGCAGCAAGTAGTTGTACAATCTGACAAGTGATCTATGTATCTGTAAACAAGTTCAGTATACTTTAGTAGTTATACAATTGACAGTCAAACATGGATTAGCTATGAGGACGTGGGTTATATTGATTGGTCTAAGAGATTAGGCTCTCTGAGTAGATGAACTATGGAAAATGTATGCAGTTCACATATATGTTTGCTATTCTACTCACACTTTCACTGCACAATGTTGTAGGGTGGTTCCATCCGGCAGGAACTGTATTACCTTCTGAAAGACGAGAAAGATGTGCATTTCTCTTTTGGAAGTGTAGCTGGTAACGGGATCGAGCAATCAACACAAGGGATGCGGTCATCCAAGTTCTGCCTCAACATTGCAGGTGACACTCCATCCTCCAACCGCCTCTTCGACTCCATAGTCAGTCACTGTGTTCCCGTCATCATCAGCGATGAGATTGAGCTCCCGTTTGAGGATGTCCTCGACTACTCAAAGTTCAGTGTCATAGTTCGTGGCGCAGACGCAGTCAAGAAGGGGTTTCTAATGAGCCTGATCACAGGGATCAGCCGAGAAGAGTGGACACGCATGTGGAACAAGCTAAAGGAAGTAGAAAAGCACTTTGAGTACCAATACCCATCTCAGACTGATGATGCCGTGCAGATGATATGGAAGGCTATTGCTCGGAAGGTGCCCTCTATCCGTCTGAAGATTAACAGACTACGAAGATTTTCTCGGTTTGATACTAACAAGACAGAGGAGACTCTGCCCCAGTCTTCTTGGCTACAGAATGAGGCTCCTTGATTTTGGACTACCAAGCTCAGGCTTTCACCATGTTTTCAATCCTGTTGAAACAAGAGTTGATACTGAAGACCAAACCTTAATCGCATGACTGGGGGCAGATGTTACAGCTGCAGTCATTAACGGAGAGTAAAGTTGAAACACTTTAGCATAACAGAATTTCATATCCAATGACACATCATTTTTCCTCAATTCTTTTCTTTTACTTACTATTCATCTAAAATGTCCTCGGCTGCAGACTAAGGACAATGAATTTGTACGAGAAGCTGTATATTCTAGGCGGCAATATAATTACTGATCAGTTACAGTTGCTGAGCACTTTCGGTTAACGTCCACTGAAGTCTAAAGTCAAATAGGGAAGGTTCTGCAGATGGAGAAAAGGGAGATATCACGCTGTGTGTGGTAGGTTATTAGCTGGAGGATTGAGATCGGTGTGTGGCATTCGGATAGTCATATGCCACTGAAAGGATGGAAAGACTGAACGGGCGCACCAGATAGGGAAAGCTAGATAATAGCCTCTTCACTTGTTTTACGGTTTCACATACTGGTTGTATGTTCACTTGTTTCCTGCACTTGTTTTATGGTTTCACATACTGGTTATATGTTCAATTGTTTATCAAGTTCTCGATTACTACTTACGCTCACAGGCTACCTTTAACGGTATGAAGTCCCTGCCAATTTTTTAATCTGGCCAAAGAAATGGCTTTCAATTTTTCAATCTAGCCGAAGAAGGAATGGCTATCAGAAAGTGTCAAGTGGAGGAAGTGCAGAAATCGCGCATCCGTCTTATCCTCGATGGAGTACAGTGGTTATAGAAAGAAATGAAGAGTTCGATTGCTTTGCTTTAGATGGAGTACAGTGGCTATAGAAAGAAAGGGAGAGTTCTATTGCTTTGCTTGGAGACGGTTGTTCTTCTTGGTCGACGTATAAGTAGATATAGCTGAACATATAGAACAAGAATTTTGCACGGTGCCAAATTTTATATCATGTTAAATACACGGGCGGCCCTTAAACTTGTGACTCTGTGTCATTTAGGTTCACGACCTCTCAAAATCAAAATTTACCTCCCTAAACTTATTTAGTCGTTTACCGGAGGTCCATGCCCCTTCGGAGGATGCTGATTAAGATAAAATCAGATAAAATTTTACAAAAACCACCCTGTAGTCATCTACAACTTCCCTCCCGTGCCCAACAAGCTCCGGCCGTGCTGCTGCTGCAATTGCTCCAGGGCCGGCACCGTGTCGGCCATCGACTGCCGGTGGCTCGGGTTGTCCCCGACGCACGCGGCCGTCAGCAACACCACGCCCGCCACCTCGTGGGCGTCGTATCGGCATCCCAGCCTCCGGTCCACGAGCTCGCCGACCACGTCGCGCGGCGACGACGGTGTTCCATCCACGGTGGTCGGGGCGCAGTCCCCTGCATCAGCATCAGCACCAGCAACTTCCCCACCGCCTCCAGCGCGGAAGCCACGGCCTCCAGCATCCTCCGATCCCGCCGCCCGCGCAACAGGACAGCCACAGCGCCACCACGGTAGTCTCCCGCCCTGCCGGCCCCATCCCGGTCATCCGCCCCATCACGGCGGCTGCCACCTTGGCGGCGTCGGCCACGATGGCCGCCTTGCTGTCGCCACAGCCTGTGGCCTTTGCCAGCAGCCGCAGCGCGGGCTTCGTGGCGGCCGTGGGCGTGACCGCCATGGCCAGCGCCATCGACGCGTGCGTCGGGCGGCTGCGGACCTGCACTTCGGCGCGGGCATGCAACGGATGGCTACCAGCAACGCGGCGTCCCCGAGGATCCTCATGAGGCCTGGGAATAGCTCCGGCCTATCGGTGATGTTGGTCTTAGTGTCCGCGTCCGCCACGGGCGACGTCAGGATCGCCTCAAGGACGTACCGCGTCGCCGTTCGCGCCCGCGCCGAGTAGCGTCATCATGACGCGGCCAAGATCCTCGGCGACAAGGGCAAGGATAAGGGCCTCCCTGGCCTCTTCTGTGATCCCTTCCGGGGACCAGGCACGGCGCGCGCGGAGGCCGTCTCGCGTCCAGCAACACGTTGGATGCCTTCACGTCACCATGCAGCCGCTTGTGTAGCCGTGTAGGTTCCCGTTCGGCGCGAACTCCAGCACCGCCTTCGTCGCAGAACGCGAGGAGGCGGACGATGTGGGGTTGGCGCCTTGGCGGACGCGGAGGAGCGCGTCGAGCTCCTGGCGGAACGCGTGGCAGAGGCGCTCGCTGCTGCGGTGAACCTTGACGGTGGCGATGGCGCCGGCGAGGCGGGTGAGGTAGAAGGTGCTGAAGCTGCCCTCATCGACGACGGTCGACGTGAAGCCTCCCGTCATGGCCTCCACCTACGCCCATGATAGCTGCCTCGCGCTCGCTGCCGTACGTCGTCGTGGTGGCAGCGACACCGGTGTCGGTGCCGACCGCGCTCTTGGTGTCGGGTGGCTGACCTGTCTCCCGAAAAGGCCGGCTCGGGCAATCAGCCTATTCGCTTGCTCGTAAACGATCGTAAATTTCCAGCTGGGAAACAGTGTTTTTCTCTCACACCAAATCAGCCAGCAGTAAATAATCCACGATACGATACGGTCTCCCGAACAGGCTGAATGCATCAGACGGCGATGGGATACGGATCTCCTCCTTAGGAAGGACTGCTGTAGGTAGAAAATGATTACAGAGGATGTTTTTTTGTAAAATTTTATCCTAGTCAAGCGTTTTTTCGAAGGAGGTATGGACCTCCGGTGAATAACTTAACAAGTTCTGGGGGCAAATTTTGATTTGGAGAGTTCGTGGCCTTAAGTGGCATAGAGCTACAAGTTTAAGGACCGTCAGTGTATTTAACTCTTTTATATCACTATTATCAGCAAATGGAAGTGTGGCCAAGCTGAATTTGTGTCTTGGTCAGCCCTCAGGCCCCAGCTGTAGCTCTGTGAGCACTGATCTAATTGAGATTGCCTGATGTTTAGGTAAACAAGTCGTCCTTGGCGAGAAACGCAATGTTAATCAGGTGTTTTTCCACAAATGTTCAAGGACTATCATTGGATGGAATTTTTTGTTCAAATTTGTGATCCTGTTCGAAGAGAAAGCGAGATGCGAAAAACCTGCAAAACTAAAAAATCAAACAGGACTACAATACTCCTATCGCCTCCTGGAGCAGCGCCCTGCATTTTGCAGCACTTTGTAGCTATTTGTTTTTTCCGAAACGGAATGGCAGAATTGTTTGCAGGAAGCACAGAACCCAAGGTGGAACAAAGTTTTCCTTGCAATCAAGCAATGCTCAACATTACAGTGACAGGAACACTTTATGATTGTGATGAGTTACCATGTTTTGTCCTAGCATTTAAAATGCTGACAAAAAATAAAGTTAGAATCCAAAACGGAAGTTTGTCTAATCAAAATGCGCATCTCTCAGGGTGGATTCACAGTTTATTGTACGTAAGGACCAAAAGAGCCTCTATCTGGGGAAATGTACAGACGGTGCAGTTCAGACACGGACACCATATTCAGATATTTTGTTGATCCTTTCCTGCAAGGCACATCTCTGGTTCTTCAAATCGGAGGCCATGGAAGCCACCTAATGGATAAAAAGAAACAGTATTTCAATCAGCACTTTTTAATAAGGTTTTATTTAATCAGCACTTGACGCAAGGGCAAAGATATTCTATGTACAAATCATGTACTCGCCTCTGCTCGCAGCTCGAGAGATTGCCTGGTTGGAATAGTTCTTAGTCTATCCATCAGACCTACAGTCACAAAAATAATACATGTGTCGTTATGAGATGTAAAGTGAGCGATCTTAGTGTTTAGTCTATTTTGTGTAGGCGACGTTTCAAATTAAGTTGCAAATAGCTAAAAGCAATGAACCAAATATCCAGAAGAAATATAATTAATACCTGCAGCAGTAGATTCTGCTTTGTAAATGGAACCTATAAGAGATTGGATCTGCTTCCCAGTAGATCTGGAGAGAGGCACAGGCAATAATTTTACAGTATGTTATTGACAAACCATTATTAAATGAAACAGCAACAGACATGGAAAAACAGACTTTTCCGACTGAGACTAAATGTAAAATACCTCAAATCAGTCCGTCCACGCTGCAGACCACTTTCACCAATAGCTACTTTGTCAAGAGTGTATTTCGATTCTTTCTTCAAGTTCTGAATAGATGTTTTGTACTCCATCATACTTTGCTCAGCATCATTCAGTAAATCCTGGAAAGATTTTGGTACAAAAGTCAGATGCACTCATACATGATCGCACAGTTATGATCTCATTGGACTGACAGAAGTTCCATTTATGTCATGTAAATCATTCTAATAAATTTTACATGAGTGAAGAAAAGTTTCAACATGAACATAACCACATTTATAAGATTTATACCTTCTCAGTCTTGAAACGGCCAAAGGTATTGCGGTATAAAAATCTTGGAGGACCTGATGGTACAATTCATAACTAAATCAGTATCAGAAATTGAGATGCAACAGAACAAGTATGCAAACCATTCACAGGGAACGCTATAAATATTAGGCATACAGCGTTACAAAAGTTAAGTCTTGATACGGCAACGGCTTTACAAAAGTTAATTCTTGATAAGTGCACTGTTTATTAGTTAACTGTCTGGCTGGTACTTTTGTCAAATGCTCATGGTTGTGATGTGCTGTATGTGCTATCTCTACTTAATTTCATGAAAATTTTGTCCAAACGAAGTTAAACTCTCTAGTCACCATTTGCCAAGGTCTGAACCATCCAACTTAGTTTGAGATGACTGATGAGCAAATAAGATTATGCCAGTTGCCAGATACACCTGGTTGGTCTGGGATCCATCTCGCTTTTGAATAATTATGTCCAGATTATATGCAAGAACTCAACTGGAATGATAAATGCATAACTGATAATCAATCAAGGAGGCCCATACAGCATGAGCACTGTAGACACTTGAATCAACGAGACATGTAGCAACAACAACAACAAAGCCTTTTAGTCCCAAACAAGTTGGGGTAGGCTAGAGTTGAAACCCAACATGAGTCCCTAGTCACGGTTCAGGCATGTTAATAGCTGCTTTCCAAACACTCCTATCCAAACAAACATCTCTAGGTAAGAATCAACTAGACATGGCAATAGAAATATCAAAACAATAGTACCTTTGAAAGCTTCACAAGAGGGATAATACAGCTTTGCAGAACCATTTGCTAGCTTAAGCATAAAACATAGTATCATATGCTGTTACAAGCACAAGCTAACAAGCAGTTACATATTGCAACTGCAATTAAAACCAATCTTCTCACAGCAACTTGATAATGCATCTGATCCACAAGGCTTTGCATTATTAGCTCGATGAAACTACTCCCTCCATTAAAAAGTGGTGTTCTAGATTGCACTTGCACTGAGGAAAAAAAATTCTAACTATGATCATTAATCACAAGAACATAATACAAAAACTTAAAACATTAAATGTGAAAGTTAGAGACAGTTCAACGTATGAAACGAAAAAACATGTATATTTCCTTTTTCACTCCAGAATTATAGGGCCTAAAGCTTTATGGTTTTCTTTACTCATCTGTGCTTCAAAATACCAAGCCCTTGACAAGCAGTGGGGAGTTTGGGACACCACACTACAGGTACAACTACACTGCACTACACTTCCGAATCTCAAATATTGTCCAGCAAGTACAGAAACAAGATCTATAACTATTCGTTAGCATAAAATACAACTAAAAGGAGACGTTTAATATCAATTGAAACAAGATTCCAGCATCCAAAAGTAAAAAAAAAAAATCTTTTCTTATAAGTTATTTAAAAATATCATAATCTGTGACAAAAGGAATACCATTGTTCCAATCAAATTGCAACTAAAACAAATACTCCCACCATGCACCAGTTTAATGTTCCAAAAGTTCACATCTTTACCCCCTCATCAGTTTAACTAACTTTGATTCAACTAATGCGATCAGCAGTGCTGCTATGCAGCGCCGTGGACACAACAGCCAGCATGTTTGGAGTCAGTGTGCTTGGAATAAATGTGCATGTACCTGCCATCACAAACCTTTGGTTTTTTTTTTCTCCTCAAAAGGGAAAATGCTGAGTCCTTGAGGGGGCGGGGTAGGGACTAGTACTGACACCTATTAGAAATGTAGATCCTAGTCGTCATGAGACCGACGAGTAGTCCAATTAGTCGGTCCTAATTGCCCCATATATATCAGGAGTAATATACCAAATATATACTAATATACTATAGGCCCCGTTCGCTGGTCTGAACTTTGGCTGAAACTGGCTGAAAAACACTGTTCCGACTGAATTGTTGTGAGAGGAAAACACTGTTCCGGCTGAAAAAATAAGTCGAACAAGCCAAATTTAAGACAAGCGAACGAGGCCTATATGTTCTAGAGTACAGATCAAACATGAACATAACTCTAGGGTGGTGGTTGCATGTAGGGTTGCAAATTGGGCTGAAAACATGAGCCAGAGTGGCCTAAGCCATCCCAGATGCAGCCCATGTCATAAGCTGTGCAGAATTCCATTCTATTTCTGGTCGTTCGACTAATCGTGATTAGTTGATGACTACTTGGACGACCAGAAAACTAATCAGCCTAATTGAGTCATGGCTCCTAGTGACGTCCAGGATACCGACTAGGACGACTAATCACAATTAATCCGACGATTTGATAACACTGGTTGGAACATGAGACTAATTTAGTGCTGAGGCATTTATACCCACTACCTTTCAATAAGGTCTATTTGGGAATAGTGGCAAGAAAACCGAGCAAGTCACCTATTTGAGAACAAACCAAAATGCAAATCTCCAAATGACATTAAAAGAAAATGTAGAAATTAATAATCTATATTCCATGTTCTCGACTGAGTGCAAATCAAACAAAAAGACGACTAAAGGTGACATTAACTGTGAACTCATGGCAACTACTATCACATCCCATCATGCATCCTGTTTAATTGTTTCAGACATCACACCAATCACACCTGGAAGAGAGGAGATAGAGGTGGAGAGATAAACCTCAACAGGAAAAGGTTGTGTAAAAACACATTTCACAAGAAGTAGAAGGTCGGGTTACATATTGGCTGAAACTATGTATTGATGCCACCGAGTGCACTTGAGCCTGGACAATGGCTGGTGTGGAGTCTTACGACCTGCCTGAAGTGCTCTAGTGTTGATGGCATAAATGCACACTTGCATGTTGTATCAGAGTTGTTTGAGTTACTTTACTACGTTACTTCATACAATGAAACTGATAATCAACTTCCTGAGAAGCAAGTTTTTTTCAAGATTGTTTCTTGCTAAGATTATATCCCACCATTTTTTCTCTCTCTAAAAGCTGCAAAAATGGATAAGAATAGGCATGCAAAAAGGATGTGGGAGTAACTTCCATTAGTTCACAAAAACATTACCATTAGTCATCGTTTTATCCAATACGGAGTAAGTTAAAACTTGGAATTTAAGATTAATAATTACTCGTTTTAGTCATGAAATGATATTGGAAATTTGGATCCATTTTATTATATATTATCAAGGAATCTGGAAAGTTTTATATAAATATTGACTGCTGAATCTTGTGTTAATTGGTCTTAACCATCTCCTGCTAGCTGCCATGTTAGCATAGATGTAGTAGTGTGGAGAACCAGGGTGTCAAACTAGGGTGCCAAATGTCGCACTTTGTACTCTGGTTTTAGGATTTGCCAGATCATGTTATTCTCATCTGATATCTAACAGAATCAATCCCCATTTCCTAGTTCCTACTAAAAACACAACAACAACAACAACATAGCCTTTCAGTCCCAAGCAAATTGGGGTAGGCTAGAGTTGAAACCCACTAAGAGCCCCAAGTCATGGTTCAGGCACTTTAATAGCTGCTTTCCAAGTACTCCTATTCAAACATAGATCTCTAGGTATATCCCATGCTTTCAAATATCTTTTTATTGCCTTTCCCAGGTCAATTTCGGTCTTCCTCTACATCTCCTCATATTATTAGCTTGGCTTAGGACTCCATAATGCACTGGTGCCTCTGGAGGTCTCCTTTGGACATGGCCAAACCACCTCAACCGATGTTGGAAAGCTTTTCTTCAATTCGTGCTACCTCTAGGCGATCACGTTTATCATCGTTCCAAACTTGGTCTATCCATCGCAACATACGTATTTCTGTAACACTCAGTTGTTGAACATATCGAATCTTTGTAGACCAACATTCTGCTCCATACAACATAGCCGGTCTAATCGCTGTTCTATAGAACTTACCTTTTAGCTTTTATGGTATCCTCTTGTCACAGACAATGCCAGAAGCTTGTCGCCACTTGATTCACCCTGCTTTGATTCTATGGCTAACGTCCGCATCAATATCTCCATCCCTCTGTAGCATCGATCCTAGATACCGAAAGGTATCCTTCTTAGGCACTACTTGACCTTCCAAACTCACATCTCCCTCCTACTGTACAACTCCACCAAAGTCGCATCTCGTGTATTCAGTTTTAGTTCTGCTCAATCTAAAACCTTTAGACTCAAGGGTCTGCCACCATAACTCTAGTTTTCTATTTACTCCCGCCTGACTTTCGTCTACTAACACTACATCATCAGCGAACAACATACACCAAGGGATATCCTCTTATATGTTCCTGGTAACTTCAAGTATTACCAAGGCAAAGAGATACGGGCTTAAGGTTGATCCTTTATGAAATCCAAATTTTAATCGGGAAGTAATCTGTGTTACCATCGTTTGTTCGAACACTAGTCACAACATTGTTGTACATGTCTGTCGGTGTTTCAAGTTGCCACCGATGAATAAATTTGTATTATTGTGCGTCTGGCCCGGATGGTGTGCTAAGAGGACACGAGGTTTATACTGGTTCAGGCAGAATGTCCCTACGTCCAGTTCGTTACTGCTGCTCGTGTTACTAGTACTGAAAGTTCGTAGTAGGGGTTATAAACGGTCGAGAGAGAGATTGGTCCCAAGTCTTTGGTGGCGTGTTGCGATGAGTTCCGATCGGTTCGGATTTGAGTCGAGCTCGGATGTGTTCGGATGCGGGATCGGTTGTTTGTTCAATGCCCCCTAATGGGACTCTCTGCTTTCTCTTTTATAAGCCAAGGGAAAGCAGGGGTTACAACCGAGGGAAAAGAGGAGAACGAGAGAAAGAAGTCCTTCAGGATCGCTGGGTCCTTCTCCTTTATGCGGGTCTCATCGACCCTGTAGACGTCAACAGGGACAGGTTCTCGTCGTGGCCCTGTCCGTCACTGGCGCCATGTGCAGGCGTCCTCTATCGGTCATGGCGCTCCACTCCGTCCTGACAGACGTCGTGGTAAACTGACGCGTCCGTCAGTGTTCGTACGGGGGTTAGGTAGAACAGCACCGGTCCGCCCGACGCTGTTCCTGACGTGAACCCCCAGGTATGACCCGTCGTGGGTCGCGGGATACATCAAGGCATGCCAGTC